GCAAGGACAAGGGGGTCTGAGAAACTGCCTCCAGCCGAGCGGGGCCTAAGGAGACAGGACAACGGAAGATGATGTGCTCTCTGGGAGTGGATTCTGGAACAGAAAGAGAACATTTGAGCCCTAACCAGTTTGGCTCAGTGGATAGAGCGTCAGCCTGCGGACTGAAAGGTCCCAGGTTCGATTCCAGTCAAGGGCATGTACCTTGATTGTGGGCACATCCCCAGTAGGGGGAGTGCAGGAGGCAGTTGATCGATGTTTCTGACTCTCTGTCCCTCTCTCTTCCTCTCTGTAAAAAAATAAATAAAAACATATTTTTTTTAAAAAAAAAAGAAAAAGAACATTTGGTAAAAACTAAGGAGCTGTAAGTGAGCTGTGAATTTGAGTTTATGAATACTACATTGAATAGTAATAACATCAATATTGGTTCATTAATCATAACAAATGTACTGTACTGAGATAAAAATGCTCATGAAATGTAAATAAAATTAAAACATGGGGTTTGTTCCAGAGATCACATGGGAACTCAATGGGAAAACACAATTACACAATATGATACGTATATGGTGTGAAATATCCAGAAAAGGTAGATTAGAGAGACAGCAAGCAGATGTGGCTGCCTGGGGCGGAGGGAGAGTGAGTGCTTATGGGACAGGGCTCTGCTGGGGAGGGTGAAAATGCTCGGGAACTAGGTCGAGGTGACGGTGGTCCCACCCTGTGTGTGCATGTACTGAATGCACTGAATCATTCACTTTAGAAATAAAATGGTTAATTTATGCTATGTGAAATTCACCCCCAAAATGTTATGTTAGACATTTTTTAATATATTTTTTTATTGATTTCAGAGAGGAAGGGAGAGAGAGAGAGAGAGAGAGAGAGAGAGAGAGAGAGAGAATGATGAGATAGAATCATTGATCGGCTGCCTCTTGCACACTCCACACTGGGGGTTGAGCCTGTAACCCAGGCCTGTGCCCCAACCTGGAATCAAACCCTGACCTCTTGATTCATAGGTCGATGCTCAACCACTGAGCCACGCCAGCTGGGTTGTGTAGACATTTGATACAATAGTTCTGAAAACTTTTTTATTCTGTAAGTCTTTGAGGGGTTTTCTTTGGGGATTTTCTTACAAACCCACAGTGGAGAATGGGGAGGGAGCTGGTATTGGTATAGTGGGGAAAAGAAAATAAGACGTGTGCCTTAGAACCAGACATACCTAAGTTTGAGTCCCTACCCTGCCATTTGCTGGCTGTGTGGCCTGGAGCAAGTTACTTTACCTCTCTGAGTCGGCTTCCTCGCCTGCCAAGTGCATGACTGATGGCACCATTCAACAGGACCCACAACTCAGACCCAGGCACACGAGAAGACATGGAGGCAACAGTCATTTCCTCCCTGTCCCCCTTCTCCTGGTTGATGGTGTTGATGGCTTTGCCACCACCACCACCACCCCCAGCGATGAAGCTGGGCTGAGTGCCAAGGGGTGGGTAAGAGGGTCAAGATTCCAAGATATGTGATTCCAGAAATAACCCCTTTCCTTAAAAAGTGCTGGTGACGAATACATACACCTCTTACTGGCAGGGCTTACGTGCATGCGGTCACCCAAAGCAGACAGACTCAAGGACAACCCGAAGTCAGCAGGGAGCAAAGCAAACACTACAGCCTTATCTTGGGGCCTCAGGGTGACTATAAGAAGGGAGGCCTCCGATGGAGTCAGTCTTTTCTCGCTCATCCGTTTCCCGACAGGATGAAACTCCTTGTGCTGGCTGCTCTGCTCACAGGTAGGCAAGTCTTTGCAGCTCCACCCACTTCTTGGGCTACGATCTCACTCTTTTGGAACTGGGGTCACAGGTCACAGGGCTGGCCAGACCTGGAATCTTCTTTTTATTTTATTTTATTTTATTTTATTAATTAAAAATATTTTTATTGATTTCAGAGAGGAAGAGAGAAACATCAATGATGAGAGCGAATCATTGATCGGCTGCCTCTTGCACACCCCTCAATGGGGATTGAGCCCACAACCTGCGCATGTGCCCTGATTGGGAATCGAACTGTGATCTCCTGGTTCTTAAGTCGATACTCAACCACTGAGCCACACCGCTGGGCCAGACTTGGAGTCTTTATTCAGAGCTCCCTGAGGGGCTTAAGAGCTCCCATATTGGGATTCCCTCAAATCCCCCCTCAAGCTGGCACCCTTCAACCTTCCGGTGTGAACTCAGATAACCCCTCTCAAAAAGGCCCACCCTGTGCATCCAGGCGAACAAAGACCCCTCTTCTTTCTTCCTACCATGTTGTCTTGGTACAAGGTCCCATCTTCCCAGCACCTATCTTTGCTTGCAATTTGTATCTTGTTGGGTTTGTTTTTTTTTAACCCATCTACATGGGCTCTATGAGAGCAGAGATAGTGCTGTTTGCACCGTTGATTGAATGAATAAATGGAATCCGACACATTCCCAGCTCATTCATCCATCGTTCATTCATTCCTTCAACATTGATGGTATCAGAGCCACCAAGGTATCAGGCTCTGGGTTGAGACTGAAGAGTGAGATGAATGAGCCATGCTCCCTGTCGGAGGAACACACACATAGGAGCTGATTTCGGACTGGCCTCTGCAAAGACAGAGCTGGTGGGATCAGAGAGAGAGAACAGGGAAGCAGGAGGAGAGGGTCTGGAGGGGGGTCATCCAGCCAGGCTACTCTGGTCTGAGCAGGCTCCAGGCTCCTGCTCCAGGACACAGCCTCTGCCGGCTGGGCTGCCGCATGGAGGCTGCTGTAGGGGAGGGTGACCGGCTGCCGCCCCTCCTCTGCCCTGGGGTCTAAGCACATGGAGTGGGCCCAGCGTCACAGACCAAGGAAAGAGAGGGCAAGGCACGGGGCAAAGAGACAGCAGTAGTGGCTGATTGAAACAGGACCCCAAAATCATTTCATGTGTCTTCTCTTTAGGGCGCCAAATCTCAGAGGGTCAGGCTCTGCAAATGGGGTGAAGGGATCCTGCTTCCCTAGGGGGCCAAGCTTTGTGCTTGGTTTAGACAGACACTCAGCCAGAGGTAGACTTTTTTAACTTCTTCAATCGATACTTACTGAGCACCTACTATGTGCCAAGAACTTTAATTCATGTGTTGATGATTTCATTCATTTAACTCATCATATATTTATTGAGTGTCTGCTATGTGTCAGGCCCAATGTCAGGTCCTGGGGAATAAAAGCCCTGAGGCCTGTCCTTGAGTGTACAGTCCCAGGAGAGGGAGGCATTAAATAGATGGAGTACAGATTGTGGGAGGCACTATGAACAAAGAACATGAAGAGAAGTGATAGCAGAGGAGCCACTTAGCTTGGGTGGCCAGGACGGGCCTTTTGAGGAGGTGGCTTTTAAACCAAGATCTTCCAGCTTTTTAAAGTGAGATGACAAGTGTTCCAGGCAGAGGGAGCAGCGGGTGTGTGGGCCTGGAGGCAGAACAAGAGGCTGTCCTGCTGAGGATGGGAGGCCACAAAGGCCTCCTCACTATTCTTTGCACTCCTGCCCCGCCTCAGCCCCACAATCCCCCACTTAACCCCCTAGTTCAGATTCTTCTTACCCTGTTCCAATTTTTTCACCCTCTAGCACATTATCTGATCTCCTTTTTTTAAAAAATATATTTTATTGATTTTTTACAGAGAGGAAGGGAGAGAGATAGAGAGTTAGAAACATCAATGAGAGAGAAACATCGATCAGCTGCCTCCTGCACACCCCCTACTGGGGATGTGCCCGCAACCCAGGTACATGCCCTTCTGTCCGCAGGCCGATGCTCTATCCACTGAGCCAAACCGGTTTCAGCACTGATCTCCTCTTTTTAAAAAAATATTTTTTTATTGATTTCATAGAGGAAGGGAGAGAGAGATAGAAACATCAATGATGAGAGAGAATCATTGATCTGATAGGCTGCCTCCTGCACGCCCCCTACTGGGGGATCGAGCCTCAACCCAGGCCCAGAACCCTTCAGTCTATAGGCCAACGCTCTGTCCACTGCGCCACACCGGCTGGGGCCTGATCTCCTTTTTAATTACGTTTATTGCTTATTGGCTTTCTCCCCCACTAGGATCTAAACTCTGTGAGGTTATAGACCTTTGACTTGTTCCCTGATGTATCTCGAGCTCCTAGCCCCTGGTAGGTGCTCAATAAACATTTGTGGAATAAATAATGGAGATGGTTTAAAACCATCCTCATTGAAAACATATGTTCACGAAAACTAGCACACAGATGTTAATGGCAGCACTACTGAGAACAGTGCAAAAGTGGGAACAGCCCAAATGTCCACCAAATGATCAATATATAAAATGTGGCCTATCTGTACAGTGGAATCTCATTCAGCTATGAAAAGGATAGAAGTACTAATATACATGTTGTAACATAAATGGACCTCAGACACGTGATGCTAAGTGGAAGAAGCCAGTCACAGAAGGTCACATGGGGTCTGATTCCATTTATATGAAGATTTCAGAGCAGGCAAATCCGTAGGGCAGAAAGCAGAATGGGGGTGCCAGGAGGGAGGGGGAGCTTTTGCTAATTGGTACAGGGTGTTCTTTGGCGGGGGTGATAAAAATGTTTGGCATTAGTGTGATATTTGCACAACTGTGAATTGTACACTTTAAATGGCTAAAATAGTGAATTTTATGTTATACAAATATTGTTTAATTTAAACTGATTTGATTTGAGGGAAAGAGAGAGAGAGACATCGATATGTTGTTCCACTTATTTATGCATCCTTGGTTGATTCTTGGATGTGCCCTGACCAGAGATCAAACCCGAAACCTTGGCTATGGGACGGCACTCTAACCAACTGAGCTACCCGGCCAGGGCCTGTTATATGAATTTGATCTCAATTTACAAATATATATGTTTTTTAAAAGTTTTCATTAAAAAGCCCGTAGTCACTTTGCCAGGTTTCTGTGTCCAGCTGTGCTCCGAGGAGGCAGCTGCGGGCG